CGGATTCGAAAATTCAAGATATATTTTGATATATTATTTTATTTCTGTTGTTCACTGAATGTTGAACAAAGGATAAAATAATATCTGGATACACTTAGGTGATGTTTCTTAATGCCGTTAGCAGCCCTGTCTTGTAGTTGTAGTCGCCGTCCGTTTACTAGGTGTGTGTTCCAAAATTGACTGTCAGTACTGAAAACCTATAGTGCTTGTGATATAAATTATAGATTTTCAGTACTGGCAGTCAATTTTGGAACACCCTAGTTGTCATAGTCATAATTTTTGAATGGCATAACGGCGCGTGCTGATATTTCTGATGTTTCTGTTCACAAAGGTAAACCATTTCTTATATTTATTTATTTCGTATATTTTATTTATATTATATTTCGTATATTTTCATATAATAATTTTTATTGTGTTTTTGTTGCACTATTAAACAAATATGGTTTATAATATATATAATAAAAAATACTTAATATTTTCTTTTAGAACTCTATTATTTTATTGAAAATAAGTGTTTTATGTCGTGTTCCAAAGAATTTAAAGTTATAATATCATTATTGTGCTTACACTGTCTACATTTACAGTTACCGGTAAATATTAATCGGGTTTAATAATATCCGTAGTTACAACTAGCAATTACATATTACTGACAAAATGTATAAATAAATGCTAGTTAAATTTTAATTTATACCAATTGACACTGACAGTTGTCATCAAATTGAATTTATATACGACATTTTACCGAATCTTATATGTTAGTAATTCATTTATGTCATAACTACATTACAAAATATTATTATAGATTAATTAATTAAACCTAAATTTTTATTTTAAATTAAAATTATTTTACTCGGAGGCAAATCAGATTTATGTTTAAATTTTTTTGTTGAATTTCTACGATCCTAGTGAGAAATCATCAAATTGTCATCTATTCCATTCTCACTTCTCGTGAGATGTCACAAAAAAATTTTAATTGAATCGATCTTTAATAGATCGATTCATTTAGCTCCGATCTTTTAATAGATCGATTTCAAACAATCCGATTCTAAATCGATTCAAAAATCGATACAATTAATGGAGATCGCACATCTCTAACCTAAACCCTACTTTAACATACATTCTCTCTCTTAATCCATTTTTCGCCAAATTAGTCCCATTATTCTATCTTAGAAATTCCTACTCCCCATTATTCTAAACCTTTCTTTTGATCCCTACCTTTAAGTACTTCCTCTCTTTCTCTTTCCAAAGTTTATTCAGTATCGCACCTTTCGTTTCATTCAACCTTTCATTTCATATATTTTCTAGAATAAACTCTTTCCCGCCCATATCTTTAAAATTAACCTTTATCTTTTTACACTCCCTGACATAATGCAAAATATTATCCCTCCCAGAGTCACAGAAAATACATTTCCTTTTGCCTTCCTCAATCCAATACTTGTTATCCTCTTCTAAATTCCCACATCTCAATTTCATTAAAGCTCTAACCTCGTCTCCTTTTTTCCAATCTTTTAAATTCTCCATTTTCAGGTAAACCGGTATACCACTTACTATACCCCATGTCTTGTACCTATCATTATACCTTGCATTCCTAATTTTGCCCTCCTCCCATTGCCTCTGTATACCCCTCTCCCTGTTGATTAACTCATCCTCAAAACCTTCGCTACAATCCATTACTACCCTTGCTTCTATTCCCCAGCCATTCCTATTAAAATAACTCCTTCTCTCCTGACCATATAAGTCATCCCACCCATTATCCCTCTTTTCTTCCCAGCATTTGATAACCAAATCTCCTATTCCCCCTGATTTTATCCTCTGTTTGTATCTCCTCATTCTAATTCCCCAACCAACCCTCATTTTGTCCATTACTAATTCCCTCATTATAACATACCTTGGTGTACAAAAATCCAACCTAAAAATCCACCTTACATAATCCATCATTACCTTTTCCAAGTCTTCTTTCTCCTCCCAGCCCCAAATTTCCACCCCGTACGCCATTACACTTCGAACCAAGTATTTGAAAAGGGTCCACCTTCTCCTAAAATCATTCCTACACCATCTTTCCCTCAATCCCCATACCTTTCTCCCCACCAATTTCCCTTTTCTTCTTAATTCTTTTATATGGTCCCCACATAGTTTCCTTTCCTATTTAATATAAAACCTAAATATTTAAGCACTTGAACTTCTTCTATTACCTTATCACCCCATTTCCATACTTCACCCTTCTCATTTCGTTTTTTATTACACACTAGTACCTTCGTTTTATCCGTACATAACTCCAGGCTCTTTTCCTTTATAAATCTTTTAAAAGTATACATCATGTCCAGTAACGCTTCCCTATTCCTCGCCACTAATACTGTGCCGTCCGCATACGCAAGATTCCATATCCTATTACCTCCTACCCTTATGCCGCCTATACCTCTAGTTTCTAAATTGTTATCTAAGTCCGCTATATACAAATCAAACAGAAGTGGACTCATCACACAGACCTGCCTCACTCCTCTCCTTGTTATAAAGCTTTCAGTATTTCCTGTCTTTGTCCGGATCCTTTCATATATCATCTCTAACTTCTTGACATTTTCTTCTATAACTCCTTTCTCTCTTAAAGATCTCCACAATTTTTCCCTGTCCACCCTGTCGAAAGCAGCCTTCAGGTCTGCAAACATCATAAACACCTTCCTATTTCCTTCTTCCCTAATACTTTCTCTTTGGATAACATGAGTCAACACAAATATATTATCCATGGTTGACCTCCCTTTTTTAAATCCTGCTTGCGTCACTGGTATCATACCTTTCCCTTCCGCTTCTTTTTCCAAACGATTTCTTAAAATCTCTGCATATATTTTATACGCCGAACAAAGCAGTGAAATTCCTCTATAATTATGCGAGGAGGTTTGCGGGTTATCGCCGTGTCTTTCTTCATTTTTAATGCCAACGTTTCGTGAACCGTACCGTTCACTTCATCAGGGCGAGGGTTGCGCTGATACTGAGCCGCTACCCTGGGAGTCTCCCTTTTATGTAGGCGCTGTTAGGGGGGGAGATGTGGGGTGGGGTGGGGGAGGGGTACCTCTTCGGCCTGTCGAAAGGGCAGTCTTCAGAAATGCAAGTCTGCACATTCTTTAAACCGCGCGCGACAAAGCGTCGATCTAAGATCATAGCGCGCGAAATACCTAAATGCACTCGGCATGGCAACCGACAGCGGAAGTGCAAGATTGCACATTCTTTAATCACGCGATCGCGCCTCTAGCACGACGAATATTACCATATATGGTCCGATTGAAGACCAAAAGCGACATCATCAAACTCAATATAAGCGATCGCCTAATTGCCGAGCGCAGAGTCTTGTCTTGAAATCTAAACGTAACGATACGTTACGCGCGTCGCGAGAACCGAGTCAAGTAACATCCGCGATACCGTCGCCGACCGGTTTACTCATAAGTCACGAGCGATAACTTTAAAATATATTCATTTAACTAAACAACTGTGTTAATTAAATGAAAGTTACAGTTACTAAAAAGCATTGTAATCTTTAGTAATAAATAATTATATAAATAAAGGGGTACAACATTTGTAATCAACTATCAAATTGTTAAATAAAAAGGGTTATCTTAAATAGAAGTGTGGTGAAGTGAGTGTTTGTTCAACGACCTTTTACTATCCTCGTCTTTCCTCGTGGGTTCCAACCCTTTGAGCGGATCGAATTCCAAAATAATGTCTTGTTGCACCGAGAGGTACAACAAAATGTTCCTTGTCAGAGATGCTGAAGGCTCTGTATACGAGTTCCATAAGGTCCCCGACATACGACCTCGCACGATTCCTAGCCCGCGAACTACAACCCCTAATAGGGAGGACGAAATCACACATTACCAACGGACTTCATACGGAAAATCCAAGAAATCCATCTACACCCTGAAGACATATTAGTAAGCTTCGACGTAGAGTCACTCTTCACAAATGTCCCAATACAAGATACTGTATGTAGAAATCATAAAAACCTCTCATAAAATCTCAAATAAAATCATCCGTTTAATAGAGCATTGTCTGACTACCACTTATTTCTCCTATAATGACCAATTCTATGAACAGACATCCGGAGCGGCCATGGGTTCACCCATTTCCCTCGTAGTAGCAAACATCTTCATGGAACACTTCGAAGAAGAGGCCCTCCGAAAGGCGACCAGCAAGCCAGAAATCTGGTACCGATATGTAGACGACACATTCGTAATCTGGAGACACGGAAAAGAAGAACTCGACAAGTTCTTAAATTTCCTTAATAACCAACATGCCAACATCCGATTCACCATGGAAATAGAAGAGAACGGTAAGCTTCCCTTCCTGAATGTACTCGTTACAAAGAAGACGGACAACACACTGGGCCATCAGGTATACAGGAAGCCAACACACACGGACAGATACTTACATGCCGAGTCACATCACCATCCAGCCCAAAAACAGTCGGCAATACACTCACTCGTATACAGAGCCTTCAGCATCTCTGACAAGGAACATCTAAAAACAGAACTCAACTATTTGAAGGAAACCTTACAGCGGAACGGATACAATAAGGAGGATGTAAATAGAACAATTAACAAACATAGGAGTGGGACAAAGAAATCAGACACAGAACAGACACAGAAAGAGAAAAGACGACTCTCGTTCCTTCCATACATAAAGGGAACAACAGACCGAATCGGAAGGATTTTGAATAAACACAACATCCGGACCATTTTCAAGCCCCCAAGGAAGATCGACCAAATCTTGAGAAACCCAAAGGACCAGAGACCCCCACTCAGCTCTGCAGGAGTATACAAAATACCCTGCTCTTGCGGGAAAGTGTACATCGGTGAAACCGGAAGAACGGTCAACACACGGATGAAGGAACACCAACGGGATGTCTGGCTGAAACACATCACACAATCAGCCCTGACAGAACACAGCATTGAGACAGGGCATCGAATACTATTCGATAAAACGGTAACCATTGCCGCAACAACATCATATTTCCCTAGGAAACACAAAGAGACCTTGGAAATACAGAAACATCCAGACAATTTAAACAGAGACTCAGGCTATAGTGTAAAGAAGATATGGAAGACTGCCCTTTCGACAGGCCAAAAAGGTACCCCTCCCTCACCTCACCCCACCTCTCCCCCCCCACCCCAGCGCCTACATAAAAGGGAGACTCCCAGGGTAGCGGCTCAGTATCAGTGCAACCCTCGCCCTGATGAAGTGAACGGTACGGTTCACGAAACGTTGGCATTAAAAATGAAGAAAGACACGGCGATAACCCGCAAACCTTCTCGCATAATTGAAGAAAATACCCGTGAAAGCCTTAAAAGCGTAATGCTCTATAATTCTTAACCTCATTACAGTCGCCTCTCTTATACAGAGGCACAATTATGCTTTTTCTCCAATCTTCGGGCATTTTGTTCTCCCTCCATACCTTCTTCAATAAGGAGACCAATTCCTCCCAAAGACCGCTTCCTGCAAACTGCCAGGCCTCTATCGGAATACCGTCTACTCCTACCGCCTTCCTTAACTTCATTTTTCTTACCGCCCTTCTAATTTTTCTTCCTCTAATTCTTCACTCATGGCTTCCGTTGATTGATTTATGTTTTTTTCCGCACTGTCCTCCATTTCCTCTCCTTCTAACAGTTCCATAAAGTAGTTCCTCCATGTTTCCTTGGCAATACTATTATCTATCTTTTTCATGTTCCCTCTCCTTCTATTTATGAACTTCCATATGTCCGCTTCCCTTCTCAAGTTTCTCAGCTCCTCTTCCTCTGCCTCTCTTTTCTTCCTCTGTTTTTCCTCTAATAGATCCTTATATTTTCTTTTCTCCTTGATGAATTCCGATCTCTATTTTACCTACCCTCCATTTCCAGAATTTTCTCTTCACTGCTCTCTTTCTTCTCGTACAACTCCTGTCCCACCAATCCTTGTATCCTAAAGCTTTCTTTCTTATAAATCTCCTTTTCTTCACCATTGCATTGTGTACAGCACTCTTAATCCTATCCCACTTTTCCTCTATATCCTCGTAGTCCTTTGGCTCTAGCAGATCCGCTTCCCTTCTATGTTCCCAAATTTCCGTTTTCTCCTGAAACATTGTAATTGCCTCTTCGTTCCACGATACAATTTCTATCGTTCTTCCTATCTCCTTTTCTTCCTTCGGATTAGCCTCCTCTTCTCCTATTTCCAACATCTTCATACGCAGCGGCTAATGATCCGAGTCCACTCTTACATCCACTCTAAATTCTGAAATTTTACCATACAAGTTTTCGCTTACTAAAATATAATCTATCACCGAGCAACCTCTCGCCCCTACATATGTATATTCACCCTCCCAATCACCTTCCGTACATTCAGTATGTATAGGGTGCTTTCCAGCTACGAAACACAGTGTAAAGCCTACGGCACACGGTGCTTGTTTTCCTGCTGGATTGCTAGCTGGATTAGAATCTTGCCACCGTATTGGCTGCGGTGCTGAAAGTGCCAATATCGCAGCCAATCCAATGGCAAGAATCTGATCTAGCTAGCAATCCAGCAGGAAAACAAGCACCGTGTGCCGCTGGCTTAACACTGTGTGACACAGTGTTACACAGTGTCGACTTGTAGCTGAAACGCTATTTAGTCACTTTACACTAGTGTTTCTAATAGGAAAAAGTATTCTGGTATATTTACTAATTCAAAAGAATATTTTGTCACCTTATTTGTTTCGTATACACTCATGCAATGTCGGAATATCATTCCTAAATAAATAAATAGTACAAAATGTAAAAATCTTGGTTATGTTGGTAGCTATGAAGAGACGACACAGTTAAACTCAGCATTTTAGCTATGTACGATTGTGTCGACTTGTGTCATAGTTGGAAAGCACCGTGTCGTACACTGTGTTACACAGTGTCTACTTGTATCGTAGCTGGAAAGCACCCATAATCCATTATCCCATACCCATTCGACTAGTTTTTTACCATTATTTCCTACTACCTTATCCTTACTACATCTTACGTTTACCTCTTCGTTCATTTCTATCCCTCCTAATTCCCCAATCCTTATATTAAAATCTCCTCCTATTATTACATCTCTCATCTCCTCTCCTCTTATATTTTCCTCCAGTTTTTCTTTCAAACGTTTACCACCTTGTTCACCATAAACTGAAATAATTCTTATCTTCTTTCCTTTGAATACCACATCCGTACTTATTATACCTTCCTCCACTTCCTTTATTAACTTAACTCTGACTGTCCCCCAGCTTTTTCTTATACCAATCAAAAAACCTCCCTTAGCTCTACCTCTCTTCCCTTCCTTTTTTGCAAAGCTACAGTCCCAAAAATGTGACCCGGGCAAACTGTTCTTTATCCTATTCTACCCCCTCTCCTCTGTCCAAGTTTCACACAGGCTAATAAAATCAAAACTACTAACATACCTCCAAAAATCACTATCCTTGTTTTCAATTCCCGCACAATTCCAAAATAACAATTCTCTTTTTATGATACCTATCCTATTATTGGTTCCTTCAATCCCTCTTTCTATTTTTTGACGTTTCCTAACCTTTCTTTCCCTCCCTCCCTTACCCATCCTTTCCCTTTCATAAATCTTCCACCCTTCTTGGCTCACACAAAATTTCTATTGCTGTCGTTATTCCCACCTTTTTCCTTTACTTCACCTTCTTTTTCCCCCCTCATATTAAATCCTTCCTCCTCCAATCTCTCTATTTCTGCCCACGCCATACAATACCCCCTTCACTTTAACCCTGCCTAGCCCCACTTTAATCTCCCCACCATCTCCTTCTTCTTTTCTCTTTTTTACCCATCTATTAATTCTTTCTTGAATTTTCCTATCTTCGAAGCTCAGATCATTTTCAATGAAAATTTTACCTCCCTTTAATTTATGCTTATTTGTCATTACCTCTTTCTTATCATTCTCTTTTCTTAGCTTAACTATAATCACTGGTCCACTTTTCCAACATCTTTCAATCTCACACTCGACTCCCACTTTATCTTTTAAAAAATCCTTTGCCCATATCTTGTACCCTTCTGCCTCTTTTATTGACCCACCCTCTGCCTCTGTTATTCCTTTAATCACAATATTATGTCTCCTTTCGTCCCTTTCTTTTTCCCATACTAATCTTTTTATTGAATCAACTTCTTTCACACTTAACTTCCCTATACTTCCTACTGATCTCGTTCTTCCCCTACTGCTTTCACTCTTATTTCTGGAACTTCTGTACACTCGCGACTTCCCTCTCTCCCTCTACTCCCTCTCTACCTCCGAGTAGCTATCCAATCTAAGCCTCCTTTCTATTTCCTCTATTTTTACCTGGCACACATTCTCTATAATTTCTAACTTTTTCTTAAAATCACTCTCCACCTCCTCCAATTTCTCCCTAAACCAGTTCTCTCTCTCTATCGCTTTTACTTCCAAATCCCTAATTTTATCTTCCCATATCCTTTCTTTTATTCTGCAGTTTTCCATCGTAACCTTAAAATCCTTTTGATATTGCTCAAATCTTAACCTTACCTCTTCTCCAAACTCTTCACCTTCTCCTCCCTTCGTTCCTATCTGAAAAGATATCTTTTTCCCAACCTCCTTAGCCTCTGTTATTAATTTCTTTTGCCTTGGGTCCACCCTACCTTTTCCCGCCTTTTCCGCCATGCCCGTAACGTCCTTCGGCATCCTAACCTCCCTCTGTTTCTTACCTCTAAACTCTCCTGATTACTAATCCTGTGCCCCGCAGGATGCTTAAATCACTACGTACTCTAAAAGCGCACGCTACGATCTTCCAAAAACACTCACACTTTGCACTCAAAACGCTCTTATTTCTAAATCCGCTAACAAAATCTCGGCAGTTTGCCACACACAACCTCTCTCAATCGCGCTACCTAACCAAGTCCCGGTTTACTTATGGCATCGTTGACTTTTTGTGATGTATCTGAATTCTTGTTCAAATGTGGATTTGATTTCGTCTTAGGACACCGATATACGCAAGATGCCATAGAAAACATTTTCTCGCAAATTAGGCGTAGAGAAGAATCTATGCCTAGCGCACTAAAAGCCTTACGAGCAATTAGGTCTATTTCTGTCGAGCAATATATATCCGAAGTGAAGCATAGCAGTTACATGAATGACTCGGAGGAATTTCTATTGGATCTATGTGAGAAAAAAAGAAAAATTGCACGTACGAAGTATTGTGACAAGGAATGTCAAGAGATTTTGCCTGTAAACGATGCAGTTTCATAAATTAAATTTAAAATTGAAATGCTTTCAATTGACCGATTAAGACCCGTATTCATAGTCGTGATTCAACCTAAGAATCCGATTTGAGCTAGATTCAAGTCAATCTTTCATATTAAAAACGCTTCTCAAACCACGCTTCTCAAACCACGCTTCAGTTGAACGTAGTTTAAGAAACGCTTGCCGGATTCATGATTCAAGCTATTCATACACAATTCTTGAACCTTACTTCAATATTTCTTCATTCATAGAAGTAATTTATGTTTTGATCATGATTTGAATCGAAGTTCATATCGCGGTTCTGTCAAAACATCTCTATCGTTGTCTTGAGAGCGATTTAACCTCTTGTTGATGATCTTTCATAACAATAAAAAAATGAATATATTTGAAGATTTTGAAATCGATGAAGATTTTTACGAATTTGTGGATTACATTTTAAATTTTATTCTGTAATAAATATATATTATATATATATGTAAATATACAGGGTGGGCCATTTTAATCTCCCCACCTGAATTTCTCGAAAACTAAATCCTGTAGACAAAAATGTTTCAAATAAAAATGGAACGGTATCGAGGGGGACACGTTTTAGTCACGTTGTTTTTTTTCTAAGTGGAGGTGCTAAAAAGATATGAAAGTCACCTCCACTTTTTTAAATGTGGAATTATGTAATATTTTTAGATAACGTGATTTCTCTAATTATTTTGCATATAAAAGTATTAAGGTAGACAAAAAACCAATTTGGTCAGTAATAACAGATCTGGAGGATGTATTTCTCCGTATATGACTACAGTGTTCGTTTACTCTCGTTTTTAACATTCTCTTTGTCTGACCAACATAAGTAGCATCACAATCACTACATTGAATTTCGTATACAATGTTCTTTTTCGTTGTATGTGGAAGGGGGTCTTTCTGAACTCTAATAAAATTATTTAATTTATTGAAACTAAAGAATGCAATTCTGTCATTTGTTCCATTGACAATGCTTCTGAAACTGTCAGAAATTCCCTTAACATAAGAGAAGTCCATAACTAGTTTATATAATTTTATTAAGAATTTATGTTTTGATCGTGATTTGAATCGTTCATATCGCGGTTCTGTCAAAACATCTCTATCGTTGTCTTAAGAGCGATTTAACCTCTTGTTGGTGATTTTTCATAACAATAAGAAAATGAATAGATTTTGAAATCGACGAAGATTTTTACGAATTTGTGGATCACA